ACATCAGCTCAGAGACTCAAGACGCTGCGGCATGCAGGTTGAGGCTGGCCAGAGCCCTCTCTCCCTAGGGGCCTTCACCTCCTACAGATGCTCAGGTGAGGTAAGGCCAAGGAAAAGAAGACAGCAGAGGGTCTATGGGTTAGGTTCCCTGGATGGAAGGGAAGGCAGAGCAGGAATACTGTTCCATGTCCCAGCTGGTTGAAGGTCTTCTGACTCTGTATTCCTGAAACAGTACTGCCCAAACAAGCCACATGAACTTGACCTCTCTGGGCCTCAGTTTCCCCATTTATAACATATGAGTAAGGCTGGGTGAGAGGAAGGAGATTGGGTACATAGGAGCACTTCCACCCAAGTGAGAGTCCCACTGGAGAGTCCTGTGGGCTTGTGGCCTCTGACCAGGACCTGGGTGGGAACTGGTGGAGCCCAGTAATTCACATCTCCTGTGTACTAAAAGAGTCTTTGACTTCTGGGCGTCTGGGGAGAGGGGAGGATGTGGCTGCTGACCTTAAAACCTCCTGAAAAACCATGTGTATGATTGAAGCATGGAGCATGCTTTGTAGGGAAAGGGTAATAAGGGAATTTTTTTTTTAAGTCTCTGGAAGAGACTTAAGGGAAGACTCCAACAGGGTCTTTAAATTCAAAAGGTGGTGTGGAAAATGTTTCTTACCTGTCCCAAGGTAGGAACAAAGGGAAATGGACTTGCTTTGCTACTGGGAGATTTGGGTCACTCATGGGAAGAACTTAGACGCAAGGAAGATGCAGCTGAGGGTAAGTGGGTGTGGGAGGTGGAGATGTGAGAAATAAACCGCAGAGAGCAACATCTATCTAATAACGATGGTAGTAATAGCTGTCACTCACTATGCATTCAGGTCTGCCTTGTGCTGAGCTGCTGAACTGTATTAAATTCTCTGAGTGTTGTACAAGGATTTATTGAGCACCTGTATGTTCCAGGCACTGTGCTAGACTCTGGGGCTACAATGAAGAGCAAAGACAAGGACCTTTCCACAGTGTGAGGTTGGATGGGTTCTCAGGCTACAGGGCGAGTCAGAAATAAAACATGTGAAGGTATCATTACCAACTGTGAAAAGTACTTTGAAGGCCAAGTTTCAGGGTGCCAAGAGAATGTAAAACAGTCACATCTCATAGGGTCTGGAGTGTTAAATGGAAGGCTCATTCCTATATACAGGTTTTTTTTTTTTTTCCTCTGGCACGTGGGCCTCTCACTGTTGTGGCCTCTCCCGTTACGGAGCACAGGCTCCGGACGCGCAGGCTCAGCGGCCATGGCACACGGGCCCAGCCGCTCCGAGGCATGTGGGATCTTCCCGGACCGGGGCACGAACCCGCGTCCCCTGCATCGGCAGGCGGACTCTCAACGACTGCACCACCAGGGAAGCCCCATACAGGGGTTTTTTATTCCCATTTCACTGAGGAGGAAACTGGGGTTTAGAGAGGTTATGTCACGTGGCCACCGTTGCACAGCAATTAATTAATCAGAGTTGGGATTCAAGTGGACTCAGGTCTATCTGACCCCAGAGACTTTTCTCTCAACCGCCTGGCTCTAGAAGCATCCTGGGCTATATGACAACTTAATGGATGCTCACCCTGTATTATTAAATTTTCATGGACACCTGTGACATGGATTATTACACCCATTATATGGATTAGGAGATGGAGGCTCAGAGTTAACTTCCCAAGGTCACACAAGTCAGCTGGTGGCAAAGCATGGATTTGAATCCAGACTATTGAACCCAAAAGCCTGCACTCTGCATCAAGCCTGGGCTGTTGCTTCTCCATAAACCAATGGGTTCAGAGAGGGGACCAACGGAGAGCCAGTGCCAGTGCCTGAAGTAGAGCCAGGCACCTGTGGGAATGAAGGGCCCTTGTCTGGGCTGCTAGCAGGGTCTGGCAGGGTTATCTGGTGGGTACCATGCCCTGGTGAACAGACTGACACCTCCACGCTACCTTGGCTGGTCACCAGGAGCCATTTTCTTTGTTACCAGGTGCTGTGCCAGAAGCCAGGGTGAGCTGTTGGGAGCTCCAGGAGGTAGGCTTCCCAAATAAAGATAATCCCAGTACCCAGGTGGAAGTACTCTTGGGGGTTAAGTGTGGGTAGAAAAAGCCATCAAGCTCAAAGGGAGGAGATGTCTTAGTGCAGCACTGCTCCAACAGAAATATAATGTGAGCCACTTATATAATCTTTTTAAAGACTTTCTTTTAATGTGGACCAGTTTTAAAGCCTTTATTGAATTAGTTGCAATATTGCTTCCGTTTTATGTTTTGGTTTTTTTGGTCACAAGGCATGTGGGATCTTAGCTCCCCAACCAGGGATTGAACCCACACCCCCTGCACTGGAAGGCAGTCTTTAACCACTGGACCGCCAGGGAAGTCCTCACATATATACTTTTAATGTTTTCTCGTAGCTACAATAAGAAGTGCAAAAAGAAACAGGTGAAACGAATTTTAACAATGTATTCTATTTAACCCAACAGTATCCAAAGTGTAATTTCAACGTGTAATCAACAACCAGTTATTAATGAGCTGTTTTACATTCTGTTTTTGTACTAACCCTTCCAAAGTAGGGATGTAGTTTGTACTTAGCACGTTTGCATTGGGACCGGCCGTGGTACAGGTTGCTCAGCAGCCGCGTGGCAAGTGGCCACGGTCCTGAGCATTGCGGTCCTGGAGTTCATTAGGGCAGATCATCGTCTCCTCTGCCTCCGCCTTCAGCTGGGGGTTATGCACAGCGGGTCCGCAGCTCTGGGTGGGCGGCTGGCACTGGGGGCCCAGCCCGGTGTCCGACGCTCCCTTAACTGTGCGCCCTGCGGCTGCCTCCGGGGTCTCTGGGCTGCAGTGGGAAGAAAGGCTTTGAGGTAGGCGCTGGAAGGCCATGAAGTGGGGACCGCCGGGAGGAGAAAGCCCTCAGGACCCCAGTCCCGAGCTGAGGAGGCCACCCGGCGGCTTGGCGGGCGCAGTGGCGCGGTGGGTGTGGGCCCGCGGCGCGGAGGCGGCCGGGGATCAGAAGCCCACAGGCCCGCATTGTTCGCCTGTCACACTTCCTTTGGCTTTATTGCCTTTGTCCAACACCCTATTGTCTGGTTTCCTTTTGTCCCCATTTCAGCGCTGCTGTCTTTTATTTTCCAGCCAGCCTGGTTGTTTTCATTTCTTTTGTCTGAAGTTCCTGAGAGGAAGGTTTTATTTTCAGCGGTTTGATTAATTCACAGCTTGAGCCCCGGGTTTGTTTGTTATGTAATTGCTGCCCTCAGCTTCAGGATAATACCACTCCCCGACTTCCCCTCCCCCACGCCCAGCCCCCTGCTCGGGGCCTGGCTCTGCGCCCCTCCCTGTGCCCGGATGGGCCGAGCGCCTGCTTCCGGGCCGCTCTCCGGGTCCCTGGGTGGTGGGAGGGGACCCAGAGCTGCACCCTAAAGCCTCAGGGTGAGCTGGGCTGGGGTGTCTTCTCCTGGGCTGATGTATGTCTCTTCTGCTCATCCTGCAGTGCCCTGTCCTGAGTCCCACGCCAGCCCCCAGGGCACCCTGCCCTTTGAAAGTGGAGGGAGAGTTTAGTCTCGTCTGATCTGTAGGATGGCATCAAATCAGACACATTAAGTTATTTCATGTAAAATACTGTACATGTATTGTACACAGTGTATACATCTATTGTACATGGCACATTGCATCATTCGTTATACATTACAAGAAACATTTTATTATACAGTTGATGTAATATACAAATGTTATACTGCACCTGCAGTTTAATTTAAGGGATGTTTTACTATATATAATTTTTGCCTTACACTCCCCTCCTAAAAATTTAATGCCCATGTAAGCAAAGTTTTAAAACATTTTTATTTAACAGTGCTTTTCAAACTAGTATGTATCAGAATCACCTGGAGGGCTTGTGAAAACAGATCCATGCCCTCCTCACCCACAGAATTTCTGATTTTGGGTGACCCATGACTTTGTCTTTCAAACAAGCCTCCCACGCCCACCCCCCCAGCTATGTTGAGGCTGTTGTCCTTGTGCTGCATTCCACCCAGCAGTGCTTTAACAAAGGCTACTTCGGTGCTTACTAGTACAAAGCATTATTCTAAACACCTTGTAAATATCAATTCATAGCCCTCACACCACCCATTTTACAGATGAGGAAACAGGTGTGGAAAGGTCAAGTAACTTGCCCAAGGTCACTCAGCAGCTAGTGAAGTAGCTGAGGCAAGACCCATGCCTACTTGGGACCTGCTGTGTGTCCCCACCTGTCTTTTCTTGGTCACTTTGGAGGGTGAGCAAGTGAGCTCTGGGCAACTGCTACTCTGGCCTTGAGCTTGACATAACCACTGAAAACTACTCCCAGGATCCTGCTCATCTACGTAGTGATCCCACGCAGTGGGATGTCAGCAACAGGAGGCAGGGGATGCAGTCTCTGCGTATATTACACCAGGGACTGCAGAGGCCCACAGGGGCCAGACTCTAATTGAGAGACTCTCACATAAGAAAATATTTTTCTGAAAGCTACTCATCTCTCAGCTTACTTCATTCCTCACTTTTGGTAGATAGATACACGGATATAAGAAATTGTTCCAAATAGTTCACTTTTATCTTGTCTCTACTCTAAGGAAAGCAAAGAGTAAGTGTATAGGGTAGTTGATGCTTGGTTTCCCTTTTGGGGAGTAGGAGGGAGTGGTGGAGAGTAGGGCAAACTGGCCTGTTCATAGAGAGTAACTGCTGCTCAATTCCAGCCACAGACCAACTTCAAGAGAAGTTCAAATCCAGATTTTTATGGGATATCTCTTGATTTTTAAATTTTGGTAACTAATTACAAGTACGTACATACACAGACACGTACTGTATGATCTTGGCTTTATTGGGCTCAGAAGGAGCCAGTTGACAATCTCTAGCCTTCTCAGGGAGACCCATCAGCCCACTAGTTCCAACACTGCAACAGGCAGGGCAGGCCAAATGTTGGCCCAGTCTTCTCTAGACCTTTCTGTTAAAAAAAAAAAAAAAAAAAAAAGGTGGGTGGGTGGGTAGACAAGAATCTTTTCCGGTTTGTCACAGTGAGTTCCAAATGGAAGCTTGCCTTTTGCATGAATGTACCTGTTTGGGGCTGGGGGAACAGTCACTGCCTCGGGGTTCAGGACTCGCCTCCCTCCCTCTGCCCCTCCTCCCTCAGGATGTCCATGAGAAGCCCCGGCTCTGCCCAGCTGGCCCTGGATGACGGTGGCACCATGGTGAACTGTACTGTCAAGTCAGAGGGGAAGAAGGAGCCCTGCCACGAGGCCCCCCAGGGCTTGGCCACCGCAGCTGAACCCCAGCCCGGAGATCCAGCCCGGGCCCCCCAGGATGGTGCTGACCCTCCAGCTCCAGCCCAGGTGCCCAGCACTCTCCTAGGGGCTCCTGGGTCAGTGTCCCCACCCTGCCTCTGTAGCTCCTATGCCTGTGCCCTTCCCCCTAGTGGGTGGAGCAGGCACCCACCAGCCTAGCTGGGCAGAGGGGCAGGCAGAAGCATTCTCCTCTGGGGCAAGACTTAGGTGGGTGGGTGGGTCGGGCTACCTGTCAGAGCGGGACATGAACTCACTTCTGCCCTCACTCACCTGATATGAACTGCTCACCTATGTGTGACCAGTCCTTACCCTTGAAGACTAGTTGAGAAATAGGACACACATGCTCACAGGCTGGCTTAAAGATAATCTACTAGCTTTTTCATATGAGTCGAGAAAAGCAGCCTTATTAACCGAACCAGAGTTAAATTGCTATTAAAGACAGTACAGTTCCTCATTCTCAGAATGAAGGGGCTGAACTACATGAGTGGTGAAGATTCTTGCAGCTCCTAAAAACTCCGTGATTCCATGCAAGAGATGTAAAAAGGGACTACCTAATCAAAAGCCAAATGAGTGAAAATGAGGAGAGTTTTAGGGCTCTGAGGAGGGATCCAGCCAGGAGGAGTATGTGAAAGGGGGCTAAGGGGTAGGGGTGGTGATCGAGGAAGACTTCCTGGATAAGTAGGGCTTTAAGCTGGGTCTTAAAGAATGGAGAGGACTCAGATGAGAAGAGGAGAGAGGGGACAATGTCTTAAAGAGGGTGGGGTGGGGGCCTTGAGAGTAACCTGCGGGGCTGGAGTGGTAGGTGCATACAAGGGAGGCTTTTGGCCTCTTTAGTCTGCAGTGGCAAACCTCATTCACATGCATTATCTCCCTTGATCCCAGCAACAATCGTCTATGGCAGGGGACGTATTAGTATTTCCATTTTCGGAAGACCGAGGTCAGGTTCAGAGAAGTTCAGGGACTCATGTGGGCTCAAGCACCTTGTGAATCACCGAGCCCAGGTCTCTTGTCTTTAAACCTTTTGTTCTTTTCACCAAATCTATCAAGCCAAGTCAGAGCAAAGGTTGGGAAGGTGGGAAGGGAGGGCCCTACTGGAGGGTGGGGCTGGGTAGATTCTGGAGTTCCCCTAGGATACACATCCCTGGGGCGCTCAGCCCCCCACACTGCAGTCTGCCCCCATTCCCTTGGGGGTGACAGTGATATTCAGTGTGTCTTACAGGACAGCAGCTCCCTGGAAAGCAACGGGTCCCCAGAACCCAAGAGACCAGGAGGCTCTGAGGCTGCTTCTGGAAGCCAGGAGAAGCTGGACTTCAACCGAAATTTAAAAGAAGGTAAGACGTCGTCTGCCCTAGTCAGGGACGGGGGCCTGGGTGGGGAGGTGTTAGGACAGTTACTCCTTAGCCCTTTGGTATCTTCCAGTCGTGCCGGCCATCGAGAAGCTGCTGTCCAGTGACTGGAAGGAGAGGTTTCTGGGAAGGAGCTGTGTGGAAACCAAAGATGTCAAAGGTGAAGGCCCATATGGGTGGGCAGAGGACAGATGTCTGAACCCCTTTCCCTTCTCCAGGCCTGGCCCTGCAGTCTAGGCCTGTAGGGCAATTTCTGGGGCTCTTGGTGCCCTCACACCTGGCCTGTGCCACTCTGGCTCCTGCCTGGTCCTAGGGGTGTGCACCATCCCTCACCCGGGGGGGGGGGTCCAAGCACTAGGCTTATTCCCATGCAGCAGAGGGCCTGGTGGGAATCAAATCCCCTGGGACCCTTGAGACCTTGGGGATGTCTTAGCCACTTCTCAGATCTCACTATAAAATGAGCCGAACGTTCCCTTTCACTGCTGGAAATTAATTCTAGGCCACCAGGACCTCATTAAGTGAATTAAAGTGTTGCCTAGGTTCATCAGGGTGATAAGTTTCCCAGTGTGGTTAATCACACTCCCAGAGGAATCTTTAAAACCATGCAGGTCCCCAGGTTCCACCCCTGCCTACTGAATGAGAACCCCAGAGGATGGGGGCCTGGGCATCTGTATTTTTCAAAGGCTCCCCGAGTAATTCTGATGCACATGGTCTGCATCCTGGCACTTAGGAGTAACTGCTGCATCTGACATGAACTGGATTAGAGACAAGGAAGCACTGACATTGCTAGTTGAGGACCATGTGCCAGATTCGGGACTCAGCTTTACATTCAATACCTTCAACCCTCCCAGCAACCCTGTGAAGTGTCGATTGTTGTGCTCATTTATATATTCAAAAAACGAAAGTGCAGAGAAGTTGGTAGCTTGCCCAGCAGCTCCCAGGAGGGATGAGTTAAAAGGGGAATTTGAACCCAGATCTGTCTTGCTCCAAAGCCTAAGCGTGTCATTCTGGGCCCTCCAGTGGGTTAGTTATCCACCCTGACCCAGTGGCACTGGGCACTTGAGGACATCCCAGAGGTGGGCCAGGGCTGAGATGCCCCACCGTCAGCATTTCCAGGGCCTGGAATCGGTGAGTGATGGTGGGGACCTTCTAGAGCAGCTAGTTGTCAGGTGACAAGATGAGGAGGCCCCTCCAGGGCAAGGACTGTATCTCAGTCATCTCTGTGGTCCAGCCCCTGACGGGGCCCTGGGGCAGAGCGATTGCTCAGTGTCATATGGATGGACCTGTAACAGATGAACAAACAAAAGTTCTCAACGGTGGTTGCTTCACTGTGGAGCAGGGACCCAGGAGAGCCTGGCAGAGAAGGAGCTCCAGCTGCTGGTCATGATCCATCAGCTGTCCACCCTGCGGGACCAGCTCCTGACGGCCCACTCCGAGCAGAAGAACATGGCCGCTATGCTCTTTGAGAAGCAGCAGCAGCAGGTGGAGCTGGCCCGGCAGCAGCAGGAGCAGGTAGGCCCTGCTTGGTGTCTGGCTTTCTTTCCAGGGATGGGGGTCTGGTCCAGGGCCTAGAGCGGAGCATGGTGGGGGCAGGTGGGGAGGGGGGCCGTGGGCAGGGGCTGGGCATTCCCACCTCTGGCGGTTCATCAGCCCTTGTGAGGAGACAGGGCGTGGAGCGGCGCTGCGGGGCTCTGAGTAAAAGCAGCTGGCTGCTTCCTGCCTAACCTCCATCTTTGGTCTCCGAGGAAGGAGAATAAATCCTGAGGGTTGGCTGTTCGGCTTCTTGCCCTGTCCAGCTGTCCTCCATGTCCTTGCGCTAGGCACGGGAGGCAGGGTGTGGGTGGGGCCGCAAAGGCTTGTGGGAGGTGGGATCCTGGGGCCTAAGGTGCATGTTCCCATCACCTACTCTTTCCTTCTGCCAGATCGCCAAGCAGCAGCAACAGCTGATTCAGCAGCAGCATAAGATCAACCTCCTTCAGCAGCAGATCCAGGTGAAGGGGGGAGGGCTGGGTGCTGGGATCCAGGTGAAGGGGGGAGGGCTGGGTGCTGGGATCCAGGTGAAGGGGGGGGGGGCTGGGTGCTGGGATCCAGGTGAAGGGGGGGGGGGGGGTGGGCTCTGGGGGAGCAGGGGCTTGAGGGGTTGACACCAGTGTGGAGAGGTACTGGAGACAGGGAAAGGCAGGGAGTGTGGACTAAGCGGAACCACTCAGGCATGACCCTAAGGAGGGCGGTTCATTTCTGTTCGAGCCCCTCCCCTGTTTTTGTCGCCTATTTCAAGGGCAGGGCCCAGAGTATCTTCCTCCCAGCTGGGACCTGAGGGCAGGAAGACAGAGGCCCACAAAGGGGGCATAGGGTCAGATGGATCCTTTTGAAAACTGTCCCTGCCCCAGGCCTGCGTCTCTCATCCCTGGGTCCACCCTCTGTGTCCAGGGATGACCACAGCTGGGTAGCTGGTTGGGCCCCCCAGGGACTCACACAGGGTTTCTTTGCCCTCAGCAGATCAACATGCCTTACGTCATGATTCCAGCCTTCCCCCCAAGCCACCAGCCTCTGCCTGTCACCTCCGACTCCCAGCTGGCTTTGCCCATTCAGCCCATTCCCTGCAAGCCAGGTGAGTGTGGGAGGGGAGGGTTGACCTGAGGTCAGGGAAGGAGCCCAGGAACCACTCTCATCCATTAATGTGCAGTGTGGCCTTTCTGGGCCTCACTTTGGGATCTGTCTAGTCAAAGAATAATCCCTTCTTTCTGAATTTCACTGGGAGAATGAAAAGAAATAGCACACTGAAAACCATAAAGTGCTTTCCAGACATAAGAGGATGTTGCCTATCTAGGTCTAGCCCCCCAGTTCTGTGGGACATTTCCTGTACCAGAATATTAATGTTTTGAACGTTGACTGAGATTTATCCATCTCCCAAATTCATGCTGTTGCTCTGCCCTGACAGTGGCACTGCTGCCTTCTGCCCTGTCACTGAGGCTCAGTGACCACAGATAGAGCAGCAACAAGCGTCAGGTGCTGACTGGTTGTTGGGCAGCCACGAGGGTGATAAAATGTGGACTTTGAGCTCAAGGAATTTACGGTCTGGGGAGGGAGACAGAAGGATACCAACAGCCGGGGAATCTGGGAAGGCTTCTTAAGGAGGTGGTGCTCGCTTGGGTGCTGGGGGAGTAGACTTTTGTGAGGGTGAAGCTGGGAGCTGAGGGTGGAGGGAAGGGGCCTGGATCCTGAGGCAGAAAGCCCAAGGGGGTGTTGGAGTTGAGGGGAGCACATGGCAGCTAGTGGGATGTGCCTGGGGAGGGCAGTCGGGGCTGAGCACGGACTTTGGGATTTATTTTGTAGAATGTGGGATGCACGGGAACATTTCAGCAGAGGATGTGTTGTCACACTGGCTGTGGGTGGTGGGGAACAGAGGGGTACCAACTGGAGGTAAGACGGGGTAGGGGCTGCTGAGGGGATTCTAGAGATGGGGGATGACAGCCTGGACTAGGGCAGTGACCGTGGGATGGAGGCAGAGATGGAATTATTAGGCTACGATCATTGATTCCTTATGAGAGGTCCTGGGGACAGGGCAGAGATGCTGCCCATAATTGATCCAGGAGGGGAAAGGGTTTTAAGTGAACTCCTTTTGGTCAATGCTCCCTGTTCCATGTGAGAGAGAAGGCAGGGGAAATCTAGCTGGGTGAGTTCCTACGGGTCCACCAGCAAGGGCTTTGGGCCGTGGGCACAGTTCATGGGCCAGCACCACTGACTCCTGCGTGGAGGAAGGGAAAACACAAAGGACTGAGAAAGTCCGGCCCTACTTTGAAGGCAGTTTCTAATTTGGGGTGGAGGAGTGGGGACTGGGAATGGGGAGGGGTGAAGTGGGGGTACAGGTTGCACAAAACCATTGCACCTACAGGTGTCCATAGAGCCGAGCTGCAGGGGTGAGGAGGGCAGCGGCCTAGTTGCGGGGAGGGGGCCACACCCTTGCTGGACAAGGGGGGCAGGGGGCAGGAAATAAGTTGTGGAAGACCTGGACTGGCTAGGCTGCCCCCTGCTTTGTTTGCTTCTGAATCCTAGTAAGCAGGAAGCCTGTGGCTGCCAGATGCGCCACCACCTCCTCCCCCGCTAACACCCCCCCTCCCCCCGCCTGAGTATGAGTAACACCTCTCCCAGGTCACAAGCCTTAGGTGGTGCCCGGGTGCCTATAGCATAGGGTCCAAACTCCCAGGCTCAGCCTTCACAGGCCCCGAGCCCTGCTTGCCCATCGAGTGCCAGCCTCATTTCCCACCTCCTGCTTTCCCACCTGCCCGCCTGCCACGCCCGCTCACGCCTCCCCTCCCCCCAGTCACCCCAGCTGAACAGAGTTCTCTGGCATGCCACCCATGCAGCCCATATCACCACCAGCCATGTGGTCAGTGGTTTGTCTACATGGCTTATCTCTCCACCTCAATTGTCAAGTCAGGGATGCTGGTCCTCCTTGAGGGAGAATGAAGCCAGCTAGGTAGCAGAGAGAGAGTGCATGTAGAGGGGAAAGGTCTAGAGGATGCAGCTGGGTTCAGAGTTCAGATCTCAGATCTCAGTGCTCCCATTCATTAACTCTATGGGCACCCATGTAACTTCTCCCAGTTTTCATTATCCATACAATGGGATGATGTACTGAGTACCTATTGTATGCCACATACTAGGGATTACGTTGAGGTGATGCGCATGAGGCCGGCTACAAACCAGGCAGCTGCTTTTGTACCCTGCACGTAGTAGGTACAAAACACAAGTACCCGTAGAAAGAGTGGATGGTGTACCTGATGTCGCTTCACCGTCGGGTGGGAACTCCGCGGCCAGTGGGTTGGGAAGGGCAGGAACAGGATGAAGATGTTGATCAGCGTGCCGGGCAGTGGGGGACGAGGGCACAGGAGGTCCTCAGCAGTGCTTTGGGGCTGGGAGGGCAGTGGTTGGAAGCCAGCCGGGCCAGCTCCGAGCCTCTGCCCGCTCTGTGCTTCCGGGACCTCGTCAAGCAGGGCGTCTGCTGTTCTGTGCTCATCCAGGACTTTTCTCCTTGCCGCCTTTTCCGTAGTGGAGTATCCGCTGCAGCTGCTGCACAGCCCCGCCGCCCCCGTGGTGAAGAGGCCTGGGGCCTTGTCTGCCCACCACGCCCTACAGGTACTGCCCCGCCCACTGGCCGGGGGCTCCCGCCCTCACCTGTGGTGGCTGCCCGCCCGCCTAGGGGACCATGGGGTCCTTTGTTCTTGTTCTCCTGCTTCTGTCTTCCTTTCCTGTCTGCTTGTCTCCTCTGTCCCTCTGTCACCCTGTGTCCCCCCGGTCACTCCGTGGAGGTGTCCTTTGGTGTCTCAAACCCTCTGGGTTTCCCTCAGGAGCCCTCCCAACCCCTAAACCTCACGGCCAAGCCCAAGGCCCCCGAGCTGCCTAATGCCTCCAGCTCCCCGAGCCTGAAGATGAGCAACTGTGGACCCCGTCCTCCCAGCCATGGGGCCCCCACACGGGACCTGCAGGCCAGCCCCCCCAGCCTGCCTTTGGGTAAGCCGCCCCTACACCTTTCCCTTCAGCCCTCTTCTAGGAGAGAGCTAAGAGGGCAGGATATGACCCTGAGCGTGTCCCTTCCCCTCTGTGGGTTACAGTTTTTATAAAACAAGGGGTTAGACTTGCTCTCTTTGGCCCCTTTTAGTTCCAGCACTCAGTGTCCCGGAAGAAGATCCCCTTCCTGCTCTCCCCACTGTATCTGATTGGGCACCTGGATCAGGGATTCAGGCCATTCTCATTTCCAGTCTACTGTCACCAGGACTCCAGTGTAAATGGCGCCCCCTTGGGGATGTGCAGTGCAACAGAGGGGAAGAGGGAGCACCACCCCAGGGTGGCAAGACATGAACTGGGTGTACCTCCCTCAACAGCCCCTCCTTTCCCTTCCTTTCCTTCCCCTGTCCCATAGGCTTCCTTGGTGAAGGGGATGCTGTCACCAAAGCCATCCAGGATGCCAGACAGCTGCTGCACGGTCACAGTGGAGCCTTAGAAAGTCCCCCCAACACCTCCTTCCGTAAGGTATGGGCTCCCACTACCCTGCACCTGGGTGGGCAGGGGCGGAAGACACAGTGTCTGAGGCTCTACCAAAGGGAAGAGCAGGGGAGGGGAGCGGGGTGCTGCAGAGGGCGCTGATGTACAAGTTGCCCTCTCTACCTAGGACCTCATTAGCCTGGACACATCCCCAGCCAAGGAGCGGCTGGAGGAGAGCTGTGTGCACCCACTGGAAGAAGCCATGCTGGGCTGTGACGTGGACGGTGAGGGCTCTGGGTACTGGGCTGATGGGCAGGAGGGCCCACCTCTGCTTCCCACCAGGGCCAGGGTGGGTCAGGTTGTGTCTGTCTCCAATCCCTTCTCTCCCTTAGTCTGTCTGTGGAGTCCCCTTACGAATCTGTCCCTTGTCTGTCTCTGGGCCCCTGCTGCTCTCACTCCTGGCCATCCCTGGCCCTGTGGGAGCCTCCCGGCGCCCTCTGGTGGTCAAGTAGGGGATGTTTTTTTCTGCCAGCCCTGGAGGACTCTTTCTTACCCCACACTGGCTGCCCTGCCTGGCTGACTCCTCCCCTGCTTCCCAGGCTCCCGCCACTTCCCTGAGTCCCGGAACAGCAGCCACATCAAGAGGCCCATGAATGCCTTCATGGTGTGGGCCAAGGATGAGAGGAGGAAGATCCTCCAGGCCTTCCCAGACATGCACAATTCCAGCATCAGCAAGATCCTTGGTAAGGGCCAGTGGGCGGGGGGGGGGGGGTCTCGGGGGGCTCTAGGAGCTCCAGGAGCCATAGTCTAGAAGGATCTAGTTGCAGGAGTCAGCTGGGTCTAACTGGGGCTTTCTGGGTGATGGTCCACGCCGTGGTGAACTCCAGTGGAATCTGATGGCGCGTGGGAGGCAGGCAGGATGTGGGACAGCTGGGTCCTGGAGTCCGGTACCATTGTAGGGCTCTTCTGATAGCACCTGCACCGAAGAACTCGGGTGGAAGAGAGTGTGTGTGTACGTTCTTTAGCTCCCCGACCCCATCTCTCCCTAACTTGTTCCCCTGTTTGCCCAGACCCTTGGAGCTGGCTCTGGCAGGAGACAGGAGAGACTGGTATTCTTGGGCTCTCAGTAGAAAGGTCTTTGAAATTATATGTCCTCTTTGGAGGCCAAGGAGAAATGTGGGGCAGGGCAGCTGGAGCTAGAAGAGGGCAATTGTTTTCAAACCTCAGCTCCTCCAGTTCAGGTCTCTTGTCAACTGAGACACCAGGTATTTTGTCCTCAGCAGGGAGCCTCTGGGGATTGTTGGGGGCCTGGGTGGCTACTCTTTTGTTTATGCAAAACATGCAGACCAGAGGCCTCCCAGAGTCGCTGTGTAGTTTGGTATGTGGGTGGGTGCTGTGTCTTAAGCTAGCAATTGGATATCCTTATACATGCCAACCTCATTCATTCGCTCAATATCTATGGAGCACCCACACTGGGCCAGGCCCTTGCTGTGTATAGGTGCTTGCACATATATCTGGGGACCAAAACCTTCTCGGGGCCTCCAGGATCTGCAGGGGGCTGGGGGTGTCAGCAGAGCCCAGCTGACTGCCTGCCCCTGGGGGCTGGGCCAGGCTCCCGCTGGAAGTCCATGACCAACCAGGAGAAGCAGCCTTACTACGAGGAGCAGGCAAGGCTGAGCCGGCAGCACCTGGAGAAGTACCCTGACTACAAGTACAAGCCACGGCCCAAGCGCACCTGCATCGTGGAGGGCAAGCGGCTGCGGGTGGGCGAGTACAAGGCTCTGATGAGGACCCGGCGCCAGGATGCCCGCCAGAGCTACACGACCCCGTGAGCAGGCCTCCCCAGCGCCTGAGACTGTGTGTGTGTGTGTGTGTGTGTGTGTGTGTGTGTGCGCGCGCACACACAGCTCTTGTGAGTGGCAGGGGTTAGCGTGTGGCCTTAGTGGGATTCCAGGGGAGCTGTGTGTGTGCACGCATGTGTGTGCATACGTTTGTGTGGGCATTATGTGTGTGTGACTGTAGTGGTGACTGTGACTATGGTGAGTCCCTGGTGGATCAGGATATAGATTTGTGACTGACAGGGGACTAGTGGGTATCTGGAGAAATGTATCCGTGGGTCCCCTTGACAAACTCAATAAAAATTCAGGGGTACTAAAAATCAAGGTACTAATAATCATACAGAGGATTCCGGAGTTGACCAAAACAAGCATCCTAGTGGATTTCTTTAAATAGGAAGCTCTCTGGGGCATATGAAATATACAGTTTCCCCAAACTGGATTTACACAGGATCCTCTGCGAATGTCTGGACCCGTGGCCCTGGGTTTGTAGCTGACAGTGAATTTGCCATCAGAAAGCAGCCAGGGAGCCGGGTGTATGTGTCTTGGAGCCAAAAGGGTGGGAGGTCGGAGGGCACGCCCTGCGGAGGACCGGAGGAGAGCAGGGTCGGGGTTGAAGTGCGGGTGCACCTGTAACCATGCCTTTCTTCTGGCCCGCAGCCCGCAGGCCAGCCAGGTGCAGATGAGCCCCTCAGATGTCCTGTACCCTCGGGTGGCAGGCGTGCCCCTGGCACAGCCCCTGGTGGAGCACTATGTGCCCCGCAGCCTGGACCCAAACATGCCTGTCATCGTCAACACCTGCAGCCTCAGGGAGGAGGGCGAGGGCACAGAGGACAGGCACTCGGTGGCTGATGGCGAGATGTACCGGTACAGCGAGGATGAGGACTCAGAGGCCGAGGAGAAGAGCGACGGGGAGCTGGTGGTACTCACAGACTGATCCCGGCTACGTGGGCCTGGCCCTCCTCCATGGGGAAGACCAGGCCCCACGCCAGCAGGCACAGCAACCCCACCCGGACTGCGTTGGTACTTGGACTTGCGCATGCCTGGGAGATGGGCACAGCTGTGCATTTGTAGATACATTCATGATGGGAGATGCCCCCTCCCCACCACACCTGTGGGCACACCTGAGGATCTGATGGCCCGAGTGGGTCCTGCATGGCGGTGATGGGCTGGGCTGGCTGAGCTCCGTGGTGGCCCTTGGGGCTCGTGGCCAGGGGACACTGTATGACCCTCCCCTCCTGCAGGTCTGCCCATCCCAGGGGTATGGCAGCTACAGACCTGTTCCCCTGGGGCCACATGCTTTGTTTGCATTCTTGTCCTGGCTGGACCAGCCACCACGGACCAGCACGCACCGCCCCACCACAGTACCCCAGATCGCTCCTCTACCACGAGGATCGCTTTGTACTTTGTGCAGAGAGGTCTGGCTCTCCTCCATGTCTCTATCTTCTGCCAAGCCTTTCGTGCCTCTGGCTGGTGTGTGTGTGTGTGTGTGTGTGTGTGTCTGTGTGTGTCTGTGTGTACCCATGTGCGCAAGTGCACATGTTTTCATCTGTTCTTTCATTGCACAAGGTATTTATTGAGTGCCAGGCACTGTCGCTGAGTTCCTGTGGGTGTGTCCCTTGATGCCATTCTTGCTTTTCCGGGGGGCTCTTTCTGTGCTTCTCTTTGTCCCCAAATTGCTACCTCTTTGTCAGTCTGGGTGTCTCAGGTTCTGTGTGTCCTTGGTGCATTTCTCTGTCCTTGTTTCTCTGCAGGGCCTTTTTTTGTGTCTCTCCCTTCTTCCGTGTCTGCCCTTGCCCCTTTAATGCCTGCTGGGTGTCTGTAAGCCCCTGGTCTGCCCTGGGCTCCCCAGCCATCCTAACCTCCCCTGCCTGCCCCTTCACTCCCTCCCTGACTCTGCATGTCAGTTCCCATGGAGCCATTTTTAGCTCCCAGCAGCATGGGAATGTGCTCAGCTTCCAAGGGGCTCTGTCATGATGCCCCAGCCCCTGGTCCCAACCTGAGTGCCAGGAGTGGGGGCAGGAGGACTGATGGTGCCCCCTTCTGTAAGTGACAGAAGCCCTGGAGAGGGGGCTCTTGTGCAGCTGGTCTCCACTCCTCTGTCCTGAGCAGGGGATGGGAGTTCCCCACCCCGACCCTGTCCTTGGAAGGCTTCATCCTCTCCCACCCAGCTCTGCCCCTACACCTGCCCGCTCCTCTCCCCTCCCCCACTCTACACCCGTAACTTGCCTCAGCTCCTGATCCCTTTCCCTAGGAAAATCAAATCCCGTTGGCACCTGACTCCAAAGATCCAGAACAGCCCTGGGGCAAGGTGGGAAGGGAACCCCAAATCCTAAAGGGACAGATGTGGAGTCTGTGTCCGCTCCCCCATCTTCTCCCCTTCTACTTCCCCAAGGCAGCTTCTCTCCAGGCTGTTTCTTTTTTATGACTGTAAACATAGTGCTTTATTTTGTTAATAATAAGATAATGATTAGTAACTTAACCAGCACATTTCTCCTGTTTACACTTGGGGGAATTTTTTTGTTTTCTGTTGACATAATAAAGACAGACCATTTCAGAATCTGGCCTTTGCTGGGACGGGATGGGGTGGTGAGGCTGGCCCAAGTCCAGAATTCCTAAATGTGCCACCAGCCCGGGCACCACTGCCCCCGGTGGCAGCTCCGTGGAACTTCAGGCATGGAGCCAGGGAGGAAACATCCTAGGCAAGGGAGGCCCAGGCCAGATGCCACCCCCAGAGCCAACACTTGAGTAAGACCCTGCCCCTGCTTCAAGGAGGTGAGCAGACCTCACCGCAAAGTGCCCCACCCAGGTCCTAAGAAAGAAGGCAGTGGTTAAGAGCACTGTAGTAAGAGTCAGGAAGCTCAGGTTCTCCCCAGAACTAGCCACGTGGCCGTGTGTGTGTGTGTGTGTGTGTGTGTGTCAAGTCTCCCCTTTGGGCCTCATTTTCCTCATCTGAAGACAAGGAGGTTATGCCTTAGCCATGGCTCTTATCTTCTTTTGGAGAAGGAGCCCTTTGAAAATCTAATGAAAGCTGTGGACCCTCATTCCAGAAAAGGGCTCACATGGACACCACGAGCCCATTTATAAGCCCCCCAGGATACTGATTAATGAAGCAGGGTCTCTATTTATGTACTTCAGGGCTCTGTGACCCTACGCTTTGAAATGAGATTTCAAAGACCTACGTGTCACACTAAGAGAAATAACCGTCCCATAGACCTAAAAGAGCTGGGTGACTGAAACTCAAAATGCAACAAGAGTTGATAAAAAGACCAACTCTTGTAGCTGAAAAATTAACCCCATTAATATGGAGTGGGGGCAACAAAGCTGAACAGTACCGTGTCAAAGAGTTGGACTTGGGTTGGATTAACAGAAGCGTGTGTTAACAACAAGCAAGGTGATGGGCCAGTGTACACCACACAGTCCTGGTCTCAGGTGCATCATGCCACTCCCAGGCCCCTCAATAGAAAAGGCCATTCTCACAATGGAGGGGCCCAGAGGCAGGCATCCTGTACAGAGGACTGGAGGGAGCCTAGTGGATGGACACGTCCTTCAAGGAATGGTTGAGAGGGCCAGGGATGTTTAGTCCAGAAAAAAGGAGACTAGGGTAGGGCAGAAAGGACAAGATTGCTTTCTTCAAAGCTGTCAAATGGGCAACACATAGATATTTGATGTAGCTCATGAGGTAGCACTAGGACTTGGCCTTTTGATGAAAGTCGCAAGGGTCAACATTTTTGGCTTAACATAAAAAACTTTTTGACAAAGATGGTCAAAAGTGGTAGTGAGCTTCCCAACACAGAAGTATTCAAGCAGAGGCTCTTGAATGCTGGAAAATGGATTTCTAAATTGGAGAGGATAGTGGTGAGAGAAGGTAGGTATGGTTGATTCCCGGGCCACAAACTTGGGAGTAAAGACACCCCAAGAATTAGGGTCCCGATCTTTTGATCTAGGGAGGATCCTGGCTGCTAGCCTTTGCTGGTTTCTCCTAGCCCAGCCTCCCAGAGCTTTGAGTTTCCTTTTCTTTGCCCTCCCCACCCCAGGTCACCGGCAGGGCAGTGGCAAGCCGCAGAGCCCAGCCTCTTGGGCCCCTTGCGGAAAAGATGAAGGTGCTCTTTGGGAAGAGGAGCTTGGCTGACTGTGGCGCCTGCCCCCTAGTGGTCACAGGGGAGAGTTGCTCATTTCAACTTCCCTGTCCATCTCCGCAACCCTCCAGTCCCCACCACCACCTCTCACTATGTTCCAGACCAAATCTGGGCAGTCTGGTCAGGACACTCCTGGCCAGGCTCACCCTCACCCCCTGCCAGTCCTGAGTTCCTCTCACTTCCCTATTCCCAGGTCCTCTGTGGCCTCAGGAGAGCCTGAGGCCACTACTGCCCACCTCCTACTCCCTCCAGCAACCCTTGTCCTGTCCTCATTCCAGCTGCTGAGAGAGAGTCACGTGCCCTGCATCCTTCTGGGGTGGGAAAAGCTCTGCCCGGAAACCTGTGGTTGGTGCCCTGGAGCCCCACCCCCCTGGACCCCGGAGAGGCGGGCGGAGTCAGATGGGTTGAAAGGCCAGGAACAGAGCGTCCTGGACATTACCATTATCGGGAAGGGTGGGGCACGAGCTTGTTCTCTGCCCTCTCTGTGCCTCTCCGGAGGTTAGGGGTGAGAGCCCAGCAGAGATGAAGAGTCCAGGAGTGCTTTGCCCGGAGAGCCTGCTAAGTGTCAAGAAGTGGCCTCAGGGAGTGGAGTCAAGGCCACCCTCGAGTTTCCAAGGCCTGGTGCTGAGCCCGGTGGGCAGGGGGGCTGGTTAGTGCGGGGTGGCAGTGAAAAGCGAGACGGTGGGCCTCCAGGCTTTGTGCGGGAGGGGTGTGCCTAAACTCCCCTGCCCCCACCTGCCCACTCCCCTGGAGAATTGGAGGAAAGGCGGTAGTGGGATGGTGCCTGCAGGTTAATTCCTTTGGTGCTGGTGGTGGCCGGGCCATAGGGGCACAAGATGATACCTGGGGGGCCCTGCTCACCGCTGTACCACCATCTCAGTGCTGTGACATCAAGGCCCCAGGAGGCTGGAAACCAAGCTGCCTTCACAGTGGTTTTCTGCCCTCAGCTCCAGAGGTGGATCTGAGAGGAACAAGGAGCGTGGGCACTGCCATACAGTCCTCAGGAAGGTGGTGCTCATGACCACCTGACCCCACAGATGACCTCCAGAGGCCCTACCTGCCCAGCCCTGGCACCCTCCCTATGCCGGGGCAGATCTCTCAGCCGTATCCTCCACTAGCACCCTTCCTAGATGTGATACTGCTACCCGTCAGGGGCCTGGCCACCCTGGATCACCATGACCTTGAGCAAGGCCCCAGCTGCCAGCTCCGGCTCAGCTCCAGTGGTTGCCATGGCACCCTGGTACTTCTGCAAAAGCCAAACAGGCAGAGTCCACCTGGAAGGCACCTGCTGCTGCTGCGGTTGCTACCACCAAGGGTACCAGGCGCCTTCTGGGGGCCCTGGGAGCGCAGCCTGGGAAGCTGGGAGGGTGCCCCACTCACCTTTGAGCTTCCGTTCTTCCTCCCTCTGGCTTTCTGAGAAAGTGACATATTGGGTCCAGAAATCACCCTTGCCTGCTCTCAGGCACAGCACAGCAACCTCCCGCTCAACTCAACCGCTTGGGGCCAGTGAGGACCAAGGAAGAAGTCCTGAGCACTTGCATTTGGAGTCTTACCGGTCCATCACCTGGATAGGCCAAGTTCTTGGAATCCACGGTTTAGTTCCCTCGAAGCTGTGCCCTCTCAGGGTCAACTTATTCTAGCAAGATGGTCAAAAGCAGAGGAGCTGTGAGACCACCAGCTCTGCCCAGGTCTACCCCAAATCAGGACCCCAGGCCTTGTGAGCCAGGTAAAGGCAGAGCATGGTGCAAAGTGTGCAGCCCAAAGGGACCCCAGAGAGGAGGGACTGGAGCGCCCTGCCACCCCGCCCCCCCCACCGCAGGAGAACTAGTCAAATCCTACCAGTGGCACTCAGACACAGAGTGGTCCATAAATGGCCGTTTTAATGCAGAAAACCATGATAATTTACAAATGAAAAATTTTATAGGCCAGAGCCAGAAAGGCCTGAGAGGCTGTGAGGGCAGAAAGGAGGTGGAGGCCATTGAGAGTCGGGGCAACAGCTCCTTCAGCACCTTCACGACCGACCCCACCCAGGCTCCTGCAGGCTGGGCAAGCCCCGGTGGTCCCTGGCCCCTGCCCTTAGACTCCCACTAGTCATTCCCCAGTGTGGAGACCGTGGGTCAACTTCAGGACAGAAGGTGGACATGGAGAGACTGTTCCTTGGAAGTGAGGGCCTGGAGGGCAAGGGAGGGAACAAGGCAGGAGCCTGCTGGCTATTGTCCGGCCACCCCACTCCTGGCTCTGTCCCCTCTGGCCAAGCCACAGCATGAAGCAGAGCCAGGCTTTGGTGGCCCATTCCCTTGCCTTCCCTCCCAGCAGGCGGCAGAGGTACAGAACACAAGCCTGGAGCAGAAAGGGCACTGGAGGAGAGCACACGTCCTCAGGCTGAGGTTCGGGGCGGGGTTGTTTGGTTGGATGTGGTTTGGAGAAAGGGAGTAATCTCAGATGAGGCGGCTGCTGGGGGAGCCATCAAACCCAATTCTAGACCCCCCCCCCAAGATATGTACATCCATCCGTCAGAGTCGGCAGGATGCTGGTCTGGGCTCAGCACCTCCCACATGGGGCATGCAGGGGTAAACAGGCTGGAGGCTCAGGGCCCTGGAGGTAGAAAGGAGCCCTCCCACCTTCCCCCTTCCCCAAGCCAGGAAGGTCAAAGACACATCTAAGGCAGCCCAGATGCCAGGATGGCCCAGGGCTGGGAATGCCAGCCTTTCCAGGGTGGCTGTGGTCTGAGCCCTGGCAGGCTGCAGGCACTCCCCACCACCCAGTCTGGCAAGGTGAAGAGGACCCCCAGAGCTGGGGCCTATCAGCCCCTCCAACCAAGAATGGTCACCAGAAGCATCACTGGGGGCTGGCGACAGGGGCAGAGCCTTCTGGGACACCCACCTGTCCCCTCGCCCACCTTGTCCAAAGGTGAAGACCCCAGAGCAGAATGGAGCCCTGGAGAACAGGTCTGGCCGGCAGATGGGAGGGGACGGATGGGAACGCTGGTCACTTTGGCATCTCCAAGGCCAACACTTGAGGCTTCACCTTGAAATACTGGTTGAATCGGATCACTGCATACCTGCCAGAAGACAGGAAAGGGAACTGGGGGTGAGAAGCGTAGCCAGGTGAGCCCTGCTGGGGGCACTCACACCATGAGGAAGGTTTCTCACCAGCTCAGCCCATCTAGGTCTGGGCAAATGGACCCTAGCCCAGGCTGGAGTTTTTTGTTTTGTTTTGTTTTCACTTCAACTATAATTTTATTTTTCTTCTTAGATTAGACTGGAGCAACCCCTCCCCAAACATATTGGTTTGTTTGTTGAGTCTTTACAGCTCAGTGTGGTCAGTACGTTCACCTTGTTGAGCAACAGATCTCCAGGACTTTTTCATTCTGTAAAACTGGACTCTTATCTCCCCCACACAGCAAGTGCCCAGCCCCCATCACCCATTATTCTACTTTCTGTTTCTATAGATTTGACTACTTTAGTTACCTTATCTAGGTGGGATCATATAGTATTTGTCTTTTTGTGACTGGCTTATTTCACTTAGTACAATGTCCTTAAGGTTCATCCGTGTTGTAGCATGTGACATAATTTCCTTCCTTTTCAAAGGAATAACATTCCCTTGTGTGTATAGACCACATTTTGTTTATCCATTCACCCATCAACGAACACTTGGGTTGCTTCCACCTCTTGGCTACTGTGAATAATGCTACTATGAATATGGTTGTGCAGATATCTGCTTGAGACCCTGCTTTCAATTCTCTGGGGTATATACCCAGCAGTGAGATTGCTGGATCGTACAGTAATTCTATGTTAACTCTTTGAGGAAACACCGTATCGTCTCCCACAGAAGTTACACCATTTCCCGTTCCCAACAGCAGTGCGCAAGGGTTCCCATTCCTCCACCTCCTCACCAACACTTGTTATTTTCTGTTTATTCAAAAGTAGCCATCCTAATGGGGGTGAGGCAGATGCGATTGTGGGTTTGACTTGCATTTCTCTAATTTTTGTGAACACTTTAAAGCCAGCATAGTGATTCCTTTCCAGCTGAGGGTGGGTGGGCAGGACAAAGACAAAGAGACTGGACCAGAATGGAAGACAAAATGATTCCTGGTTTTAGGGACATGTGTATCTCGCACGACAGGGCCGCCTAAGTAGTCAATACTCAAGTACAGTCTCGGTACAGCCCCTAGTATATCACTAGGGGCCACTAAAGGAGCAGTTGGGTCTGATACCCCATGCAGGGAGGCAGCATAGTCAGCTAAACCACCAAGGGACCTCAGCCGGTCATCCACCCCTCTGGAACTCTGGCCCCTCTGCTATAAAATGAGGTTTGGACTCATGATCTTTCAGACTAATTTCCAGCAATTCCCTTCAGCACCGGGCTCTGTGGGGAAGAGCCCTGGCAGAAGAGCCGGGCAGTGAAGCAGATAGCAGGCTATAATAGGGAAAGAGGAATCAGGAGGCAGGGTGCAAGGGTTTCTGACCACTTCCAGAGAGGGATTCTGGGCACACGTGCTTCCCCAGGCATCCCTGGAGCAGTGACCCGCCTCGCATGGGCTGGCTGGAATGGGGATGGTGAGCAGGGCAGAGGAATGGACCTGGACATTCTCTTTGGGGTGTCCTTTACCCCCACGTACTGGGTTCAAGGCTCTTCCTTTCCTCCACGCACCCCCCCCCCAACTGACTTTCAACTTGCTCCCTGCACTCACCTGAGGAAATTAAAGTCGATGGTGGAGAACTGGCTCTGGATGAGGGCCCAGAGTGCCCAGAAGAAGTGAGACGCCTGAAAACACATCAGAGAAGATCAGTGTAGTGAGCCCCCCAAACCTGTCATGGACCCCCATAGCTGGAGGGACACAGGCACTGTGGAAGACACAGAGCTAAGACGCTGGCAGAGACAAAGTGGGGTCTCCCCAGCACAGGTGGGGGATATTCTAGAGGTCAAGTCACTGGATGGTATCTGGGGACTCCACTCCTAGAAAAAGGCAAGCAGAGTAGGTTCTACTGCCCTCAGGCTTAAGCAGACTTTCAGCTTGTTCCCCAGCCTAAGCCGAACCTGAACTCCAGCCCTGGCCGCTCCCTACCCAGGAGAATCTTCAAGCCCAAGGTATCCAGGACAAGAGAAATCCCTAAGGCAGAGCTCAGGCCTGGTTGCCAGTGGAGGGGGTGGCACCCCATCTGCAGTTCCCTGGCCACGTGGGCATCAGAGGTCCAGTCGCTGGAAGACCTCTAAAGTGGCTTCTTTCACCCCTTCCCCCCCTCTTCTATCGCAAGGTGGGCGAGGTCAGACAATGAGTGCAGACATGAGCCGGGCTGCTGACCAAGGGTTCAGCTGCCTCCCCAGAGCCAGAACTCCCCCGGGGCCCAGACCACCCTACGTTCAAGAAGCTAGAGCGCCGTGGTTCCTGCTGCTCCAGCGACCCCAGGCCAGGGCCCCCACTCCTGTGGCTCTCCTGCCCCACCCCAAGTCCTGCTCACTCTAGGGTTGGCTCTGTAGCACCTCCCGCCATTTTATTCCCTTTTCACGACTTAAAAGGGGCAGAGATCAATTAGCAAGTGGGAATGGGTACTAAAAATTTAGCAAGATGAAGGCATAGGTGGAACAGTTAAGAGGAAGAACCTGAAAAAGAATCACTTGGTTGTACAGCAGAAATTAACATAACATTGTAAATCATCTACTTCAATAAATTTTTTTAAAAAAGGAAGAACCTGATAAGAATCAGTTTTATACCAATGAGGAAAATAGAATAGGCAATTTAAAATTACAGGTAATTAAAGATTTTATTTAAGTTCTCTGATATATTGTGAAATTCAGGGCAGCTGACTTGTCTTCTCGCTTATGCATGGCTGACATTAGTAAGACTAGTTAGCAATCCCCTTGGTGCATTCCAGTGGAGACCTGGCATGAACCATGTACCTTGGATAATTAGCACTCAAAATCAAGAACTGACAGCACAGTAATTTGAGAAGAAAGAGCCTGATGGGAAAGGCTTACATAGAGTTTTGAGTGAGTCAGTGGAGACAGTTAACAAGGAGGATTAGAACTGACATTCTTTATCTTCTCCAAAGACGAAAAAAAAAAACCCAACACAAAACTCAAGGGATGTATTTAACTGTGGCATGAAAGGCTAAGGTTAGACACTAGAAAGAACTTGTCCAAATGAGAGAATTGCTAAAATAGGAAGCTGGGCTCTTTCCTGGAAGTAGTTCTCTAGGAAGGAGAGGACCTGGACTTGATGGAAGGGGAGGAAAGCAGGGAATAGGGTGTCAGTATTAAGAGGATGCCCAAGATGGCTCTTCCCAGAGTCCCCCTCTAGGTTGGGGTTCAGGAGCATATGATGGGACTCCCCCAGGACCTCACCCCTGACCCTGGGCTCTGCTTCCTCCTCCACCACAAGGCTGTGAGAAGGTAGGAGCTGGGGGTGGGCCCTGAGTCCCTCCTCCCAGCTCTCCTTCCCCGACCCCTTCCAGTCACAAGCACTCACCAGGGCAAACTTGTTGACTTGCACATAGAGCCTCTCCACCTCCCTGGGGGTCACAGCCATCCCCTTCTGTGCCTGCAGGTAGTAGCGCAGCCACTGCAGCTGGGTCTCCCGCGCTGGGTACCAGCAGTAATCGACCTCATTCACACCTGATGGGGAGGCAGCCGCACAGAAGTTGCTGGGAGACGGGCCCACCTGGGGGTCTCCTCCAGCTCAGTAGGTGTTCCCTGATCCCCTCAAAACCTCCATCTCCTGTGTCCTGTGGGGCTGTGCAAAGAATGCAGCTTCTTTGACCACCAAACTCTAATGTGTGGAGGGTCGACCCCCATCCCAGCTGGGGGCACTGCTTTCAGTGGGCTGAGCTGGAGGAAAGCACACAGAGAGGCAGACTCGTTGAGGGGCAAGGCACAGTCCTGGAAGTGATGGGGACCCCCTAAGACAGCACCACTGTATCCCTGAGCCCTACACAGAACCACGGCACACTGGAGGCGCTGGGTCAAAGCCCCGAATCGGGAGGCTAGTTGTCTTAGATCTGACGCTAACCTCCAGTTAACTTCGGGCAAGCCCTTTCCTTTCACTGGCCAAAATCTCATTTGTAAAGCAAGGGCTGGACGTAATGCACCTCAAATACTGCTTCCTGAACCAGTGTTGAGCTGGTTAACCTAAAAGCATCGCCTGGAGTGCTTGGCGAAAATACAGATTGCCAGGCACCCACCCATGTCCAACTCTCCAGGTGATTCGGAAACACAGCCAGGCTTGGAACCCCTAAGCTAAATGGCCTGGACTCCTTCTAGTCCCACCCTTCCTTGAGTCCTCAGACTGCCAGCCCAGTACGCACCAGCCACATCTTGGGCATGATGGCAGAGAGCCTAGATTCAGAGCTGGTACAGAAAGAAACAGTTTATTAAAGACAGGACCAGGACTGGGCCACCTTGTCTGGTCTGTTCCTCCCTCTTCTTTTCTTCCTATCTTTCCCAAGCTTCCCTTATATCCCTGGAGAAACACACTCAGTCTTCTGGGCCCCCAAGAGTATGGCTGGAGAAGAAGGTCCTGGCACAGATGTAGACACTAAGGCCCAGGTGGAAGAAAGCTGTTCAATGTCACACAGCCAGTTACTAGAGGCTGGTTCTTAGCTCCCAGCACTGGGTCTCCCTGCTCCTGAGAACACAGGAGATGCCTCTCTCCTCTACTGCCCTCCTCCTCCCCCCATCCTAGGTTCCTCCTCCTTCATTCTCAACTTGGAAGCAGGATGCAGTCTGCCCCCTTGGAGAAATTCCAGCTGGACTTTGCTCCAAGCGCTGGGCGAGAAGGACTTAAAATGCTTAAAAATTATCCCTTTTGGAAAGGCCAGTGGGTCTGTCAGTTGAGCAATCACAGGCCCAGTGCCGTGCGGGTGCCAGCCTCTGCTCCAGGCCACACCCCACAGCTCAGCTGCTCTGCCCAGCTGAGGCCCCATCTGTCCCTTGGGTGCCTAGATGCAGCTGGTGGCCCCCCTGGGGAGTCATACCTTCAGGTACAAGCAGTGCTTGACAGCCCTGGTCACCTGGGGTTCCAGAAGGGGCAGGATTGGCCTGTATTGGCCTGGGGAGTGCCTCAGGCTGGCCCAGGTGCCGGCTCTACAGTTGGCCTGGGCGTGCCTCACCTATCCTAAGCCATACGGACTGGCCACATCACGCTGAGCACCCCGCACTGCTAGCCTGGGGATGTCCCTCCAGCCCCAGTGTCCACCTCCATCCACCAGTTGCCTCTTTAGCCCCATCGAATTGTTTAACAATTAAGCCCTCGAGCTGGAAAAACTTGCCCTGCTTCCTTTACACAAATGATTCTATTGTACACACCTACCTTTACGGAAGGACGGCCTATGCCAGGACACACCCCAAATCCAACCTCTTCCAGGACACACCCCAAATCCTACCTGTTCCATGGCTGCTCCAGCCTCCCTCGGAGGCAGAAAAGCTCCCCTGCCTGACATCAGCAGCAAATACCAACGTGGAGCTTAGTATGTGCCACACCGGTGTGTGTATCGCATATCAATACTATGAAGTAGGCACTATTATCATCTCCATTTTCCAGAGGCACAGAGAAGGTAAGTAACCTGCCCCAAGCGTCATGCAGCTAGTAAGCAATGAAGCCAGGATGTGAAGCAGGGGAGTCAAGTTGCAAAGTGCACACTGTTAACTAGTTGCACCATGATTAATCTCATCAGGTCACCAGGCAAATAGCTACTTGCAGCTCGTTCTGCCCCTTATCTGCCTGCAGGGCCCCTATGTACGACTGCACGGGTTGACTGGGCATAAAGGAGCTTGGACAGGGGGTGAGTGGAGGCTGACATCAAGCTGAGCTGGGCCAGCTGGCATGGGCTGTGTCTGCCCAGAGGAAGGACGGGGTCTCTTTAGAATTCACATGCCAAGCCGAATGTCCTCAGGGATCCCACAGAGGGCACATTTCCCTAATTTGTACCAAAGTGCCATATGGGCTAGCAGGGGCTTGCTCTGTGTATGTGGGTCTGCCTCGGCCCCCCACCCCACCCCCCTGCCCATGAGACCCGGTGCTTTCTCAAGGCAGGCTGTGCCTGGCCCCTCCCTCAAGCTGTGATATCTTGAGGACAGGGGTGTCCAGCCTCCATTCCCCATGCACAGAACCCCCTCCAACCCTTCCCCTGGACCTGGCCCTCCATCACCAGGAGGATATAGGCCAAAGAGTAATGCCCTTCTCACCTGCAAACTCATTGAAATGGTTGCCAATGTCAAAAGCTTGGTAGTTATAGCCGGCATATTCATAGTCAATGAACCGTACGTGACCTGTGAGGTAGAGGAAAGGCAGTGAGGGTTGGCCCCAGATCTGGACATAGGGCTTGGTCAAGCTTTCACAGACCTCAGGAATGCACCCACTGACTCTCACCGGCCTCTGCAGCCTCACCCAACTTCTCAGTGGCAACTTTCTTCTAAGTTGCTTCCTTCCATCTTTCCATCTGTCTGTCTGCCCTTTCCCCAGCTCCGGCTGTCCCTCTCACACAGCTGGGTCCTCAGACCCTCCCCAACTAAAGACATTTGTCCTCAGCATGGCTGAGGACCAGAAAATAAAGCCAAGTACTCCATGGGGGTGAAGCTATCATCAGGAACACAGGGAAGGCTCAGGGCAGCCAAGACGTCCTCGTTGTCAGGGGAATGGCTCCACAAACCATGATTTTGAGTTCTTTCTTGGCAAAGATTTTTCTAAGTGGGAATTTGTTTCTTTTTCATTTCTCTCCTACAAATTAACTTGAGACCTACACCAGAAGGTCTCACTTTGCTTGTCCAAGTACCAGGCTGAGGAGCAGAACCCCAACGCCAGCTGACCAAGCAGCCCGAGCCCTGCTGCTGCCTGGCCAGGGCCAGGGAAGCTGTACCTTTGGTGCTGTCGTAGATGATGTTCTTGCAGAGCAGGTCATTGTGGCAAAACACCACAGGGGAGTCCAACTGAGGCAGGTGCTCCTTCAGCCAGGCCAGCTCCCGTTCCAACACCTCGACCTTAGGGACATCTGCAGAAAGGCTGGACAGTGGCAAGAAAGGTGGTCGGTGGAGGGAGGGCTGATAGCAGACAGGCACATGCTTGGCCTCAAAAGCCCTGGGCTCTGGCCCCATCACTACCTCTTATTGCAGAGGGACCTTGGACAAACGGCTGACCTTTCAGACCCTCACTTTTGTCACTTGTAAAATGGCACTCACCTTTCCTGTCCTTCTGACTTCCTGTGGTTATTCTAAGAAGCTGATTAAAACATGGGCATAAAAGCATTTTGCAAAGTGTAAAAGTCCCTGACCGAACAGTGTCCTGATACTTCGTGAAAGGGAGAGGGAAATAAGGATGGAGGCACAAGGAGGTGTCAGGGGAGGGAGAGTGAATGTCCAAACTCAATTATTCCAGAAAGAACAAGGGCAGCAGGGGAGGGATGCAAACAGACCTGCTCTTGGGATGCTCGAAACAATTCCTAGGGGGAGGTGAAGCTCTCTAAAATAAGACCCCAGAGTTCCTCCAGTGGAAGAGTGACAGTGCCCTGGGAGTGGCGGCAGCAATGGCACCCTCTTGAGTAGACAGAGGGACGTTGCTGTGAGTCTCCCTCCTGCTCTGGTGGCTGGCGTCATGGTTGGAAAGGACTAGAGATCATCTAGACTGGCTTCCCATCGCACAGCGAGACCACTCAGGTCTACAGAAGAAAGCAAAAAAAAATTGCTTCTTGGGCCCACTCCTACAAGGCCAAGGGGATACGAGGGCTTTTCAATTGAAAAGCACTTGCTCTGCTGTGGCTCAATAACTCACCTCTTCCCCCTTGAACTATGGGTGTGTTTCCCTGCCCCGGCCCCCTGCTTGTGTAGGAACAAAGATGCATGAAGGCCACCTGTCCCTCAGCCCGCCCCATCCTGTGGCCCATGGCAGGCATTTTTGCTAAAAGTACATGTTGAGGAATGAATGAACAGGTCAGTCAATGATGTTCTCAGAGGTCACGGGGAAGTTGGTGAGGGTGCACTGCGCTCCCATGCTCTGAACTTTGCTCCCAGGAAGCACAGTTCTGTGTATACTGAAAAACCAAAGAGTTAGCAGAACCCTTAAAACCCTAGCCTCCTCCCCTCCACCCATTGGTGGTTCCGGGGTTTTATCTCCATTCACATGACTCCTGTTTGCTTTCTTGTCCAGGGCAGTGAGGGTACACGCGGGAGGATGTAAATGAGACACGTCCTCTCTGACCCTCCTCCAGGATGCCCCATTGCCCCTCACGCAGCCCAGAAGCCAGAATACAGGGAAGAGTAGTCAGCGACTAAGGCATCCCCATGTTCCCCTGGACACGGATGAGCTGCAGGCTCCCTCCAGGCTCTGAGAAGGTCAACGCTAAAGGGGATCTCAGGTCTCCTGTCTAACCCTACGGGGCATCTGAGGCTCAGGGGAGGGCAGAGACTTCCTCCCGCCTCCAGATGCGTCTTACACAGCTGGATACTCTACTCCCTCACCTGAGGAAAGCAGTCCTCAGCCTATCCAAGGATCCAAAATCAAGCTGAGCCTCTGAACTGAGGGGGCCTCAGTGCCCCTCAGGGGCTCTGCACAGGCCACTCTGAGTCTAGGGGTCTATTAGGGGTGGGATGGTGGAGGCCTCCCCTCACCCTCACTGGAATTTATCTGTGTTGACAGGTCTGCATAAGATACATTTTAATCTGGGCTCTTCTTAAGAAGCTACCTTTTCCTTTAAGATTCTTTTTTTCCCCCTTGGACCGAGACCATCCAAAGATAAGAATTAGGAGGCTTCCTTTGGTTTGCCCAGGTCTTAGCCTGAAAAACATGTCTTTGACATCCAAGATGCCTGCTGCCCAGGCCCTGACCTCTGTCTGATCCCTACCCTACCCACCCCAAGGCCACACAGCTGCTTACTGGCCTTCTACCTCCCTGTGCAGCCCTGCTTCCCTCCCCCGAGCGCTTGAAACGTCACCAGCTTTGCTACCTTCAGCCCTGACATCACTCGACTAGCTCAAGGCTGTGGGGATGGCAGACTAGTGCCCACCACTGCATCACAGAAACTTCCACACCCCAGGCAGAACAGCTCTGTCCCTCAGAGGAGTAGGAGGGGGTGAAGGGGCTGGGGGCCCTCCTCAGGGAAGCCTGGGGGTTCCCCTGAAGGGACTGCTGCCTGGCAAGTGTCCACTCAGCATTCAGGATCCGGGCGGGGAAGGGGGAGGAAGTATCTTCTCCCCACAGGGAAAGGACTTTCTAAGTGTTCAAACTTACTGACTCATCACGTTTTTTTTTTTTTGTGGTACGCGGGCCTCTCACTGTTGTGGCCTCTCCCTTTGTGGAGCACAGGCTCCGGACGCGCAGGCTCAGCGGCCATGGCTCACGGGCCCAGCCGCTCCGCGGCATGTGGGATCTTCCCTGACCAGGGCGCGAACCCGTGTCCCCTGCATCGGCAGGCGGACTCTCAACCACTGCGCCACCAGGGAAGCCCCTGACTCATCACCTTTGCCCTCATACCAATCAACCCATCCAAAGCTCCTCTTGATGCCCCTTAAGCAGTTATCAACCCCACCTTCCCCAGCCACGCTGGGTTCCCCCATGTCCCACCCAACACCAAGACTATCAAATCTGTTTCCACAAGACCTGACTCATCCCCCTATTCTCCATCCCTCCATGAAGCTTCCCTAGGGCAACGTTCCTCAGAGCCTGGTTCCTTGATCACCTGCCTCAGAATCACCTGGAGAGCCGGTCAAAAGGCAGATTCCTAGGGTCTAATGCAAGACCTCCCAATCAATCTCCAGGGTTAGGCTCGAAATCTGTACTTAGCAAGCACCCAGGGGAATCTCATGCTCCAATTTGGGAACCCTAGTCCTAGATGTTGCCCACTGAATTACAAGACTCCCCCAGCTGGCCTCCCTGCCTCGAAGCCCCCAACTCCCACCCAAATCTGTCCTTTACAATGAACCCCTGGCTCCAACACCTTCACACTGACTCTCCACTGCCTGATAAATTAATCTGGGCTCCTTAACCTGGCACTGAAGGCCCCTCACAGTCTAGCTCCAACTCACCTCTGCAGCCCCATCTCCCACGACCCATCCCCAATCCCTCCTGAAGATCTGCTCCAGGGCTTCCCTGGTGGCGCAGTGGTTGAGAATTTGCCTGCTGATGCAGGGGACACGGGTTTGAGCCCTTGGTCTGGGAGGATCCCACATGCCGCAGAGCAACTGGGCCCGTGAGCCACAACTACTGAGCCTGCGCGTCTGGAGCCTGCGCTCTGCAACGAGAGGCCGCGATAGTGAGAGGCCCGCACACCGCGATGAAAAGTGGCCTCCGCTTGCCACAACTAGAGAAAGCCCTCGCACAGAAACGAAGACCCAACACAGCAAAAAGATAAAATAAATTAATTAATGAACTCCTACCCCCAACATCTTAAAAAAAAAATTAAAAAAAAAAAAAAAAAAGATCTGCTCCAGCCAGGCCCTCATCTACTCAGCATCCACAAGCAAGCTGTGCTCATGCTGTCTCCTCCAGCCGGAGGCCTCCCTTTTCATCTCTGCCATACTACCTCTGCCAAGAAGACTTTCCCTGGCGCTCCCACCCCTGCATACATCACACACACTGCATAGCCAGGTCCTATTTACACGGAAGGTTTCTAAGCTCCTTGAGGGCAGGGCCCCTGTCACCTTCAAGTTTTTTGTTGTTTTAAATCCCAATCAATCAGTGTTTGTGAAATGAAGGACTGACTAAATCAGGGTTATTAGGCAACGACTGGAGCTCAAGTGCTTCACCCCATCCGAGTGATTGCTCATTGCTGCCCTGCTTGCGGCAGGTTAGACAGTTTAGGGCAGGCATCATCCCCTCAAGAGGCTCAATTTAAGCAAATTGATTTGCCTAAGGTCAAAGGTGAGACAAGAGAAAAGGAAGTTGGCCAGCTCTTCCTCAGGGCACACTCCCCTCCTAACAAGGTCACCCCCCGAGGCTACACAGTGACAGTACAGTCAGAAGAAGCTGCAGTAACAAGGGTCCTGCCCGAGCATTAGGCCTGGACTCTAGTCCTTGAATTGCCACGTATCAGTATAACCTTGGGCAAGTCCCATCCTTCCTCTGGGCCTCAGTTTTTCCATCTGTCAAACGAAAGTGGTGGGCTGGATGATCAGAGGGTCTTGCTCTCCATGTGCTGTTCTAGTCCTAAGGGGGAAAGCAGTCCTTGTCCCAGAGCCATCTGACATAGAAGGTCTGAACATAGGCTGTCCTAGACAAGTAGTCCCAAAGCGGTGCTTAATAATCTCTGACAGGGAGGATCTAGATAAAGTCATGTGTGCATGCATGTGACAGAGACACACGATCGGGATGGTTAATTATTACCATCTTAGAGGGAGAAGGAGATACCCTTCCTCCAAACCTCTTCTGTGCCCTGCTCCCACGAACATTTGGAGAAGAGTGATGTTCAGCCCCAGTGGCGAACATGGAGGGATCAGAGACCCACTATGGCCTTTTTTGCGGGGCGCAGGGATGACCTCAATCTTTTCTCCATGCCACCATCCTTTTCTCAGCACTCAAGGGTATGCTGGGGAGTCAGGCATCTGAAGGCCAGAAGGACTCTCAGGTTGCCGGTGAGAGCATAAGGATAGGTCCAGGGAACTGCGTCTTACCTGGGGAAAGGCAATGTCAGGATGGGTAGGGTGCGCCCCTCCCCGGGAAGAGCGGTGAGAAAGCAGCGAGCTGTCAGTTTGAACAAGGTGAGGAACCGGGGCCCCAGAGCCATGTGGGGACAAGAGGTGCCCAGGCAAGTAGCAGGAATCTTGAAGTCCAAGGGCTTGTCAGCTGACGAGCTGAGTTCTTCTGACTGCCTCTGAACTCAGCCCCACCCCATTCTCAAGAAGGTCGGTCCCTCCCTTCTCATTGCTCAGAAGCCAGCTCAGGTCGAAAGGGCCCTGTGTGGAAACAGAAGCCCTGCCTCTGACTAGCCCTGTGACACTGGGCAAAGCTTAGTCTCTGAGCTCAGTATCCTTCAAGTGAAATGGGGAGATGCTGACCCTATTCCCCGCCACAACCAGAAAACTGAAGGAGAAATAAGCACATAGATAGGGAGGGTGGGAGGGAGGGAGACACAAGAGGGAAGAGATATGGGAACATATGTATATGTATAACTGATTCACTTTGTTATAAAGCAGAAACTAACACACCATTGTAAAGCATTTATACTCCAATAAAGATGTAAAATAAATAAATAAATTTTAAAAATTCTAAAAAAAAAAAAAAGAAATAAGCACACAGGTATAAAACTGCGGAAACAAGTTCCTGAGGTTTCGTCAATCAGCCCAACTCTGCTTGGAGACAGGGGCTCAGGAATCAGCACTGAAGCCACTAAACCTTCTGTCGGGGCGGGCTGGGGAAGGGAGGTCATATTAAGGCAGCAGAGACAGTGATAGCCTTGAACCCTCTCAGATCTTTGTACCTGGGGTTGATCTCGTTCTTCACAAGGGTGAAGTAATTGTGCATCTTGTGCCAGAGGATGGGCTTGGGCAGGCTGCCGTTGGCGTGGATGGTGTGAATCTTTGCCATTTCTAAGGCAATCAGCCTACAGCAGAAAACAGGAAGAGTAGAGTATGAGTGTGGGGCAGGCCCTCCCCAGCTCAGCCACTCATGAGCATAAAGAAATGGCCCTGCAAGGTCCACTGGGGCCAAGTGTAGGCTATTACAAATCTGTTAGGAGCTCTTGGTCCTGCAGAAGGAAGGTCTCAGCAGAAGGCGTGAAAACGAGATTAGGCCTTCAGCTCAGCAGCTCCCCTTCCAGAACCAGAGCCGGGGGAGCTTCAGGGAGTGAAAGGGCAAAGCAGTGGGCCGTTGGCCACAGGTCAGTGACCCTGCCCCACCTCAAGGTTGAGTGCCTACAGCAACCCCTGAGGACAGAGGGGTCACCTGGGGAGGGGGGCGGAACCCCTCCCACCCCCCACCCCAGCCCAGCCCCCTTGGACTCAGACCCACGCCCTCAGGGGGAGGTAAATGCAGGGCACCAAGCAATCAGGGGGTGGTAATGCCAGGCAGGGAAGAAACGCTTGTCTCTTATCAGTCTGGCCAAGGTGGGGAGGGAAGCAGGCTGGCCCAGGGCAGCCCCTTCCTCTGCGGCAGGGAGTTGATGCTGGCGGCTGGGTGCCAAGGACGCAAAACAAACCAGCGTTCTATTTTCAAGTTCTCCTGTGGACATTATCCAAGGTCCCGGGAGAGAAGGAGGGGGCGGTGGGGAGAGGAGAAAGCAGAGCTGGGGAAGGTTGCTGGGAGAGGGCGGGGGTGGATAGAGGACTGACTGGGCAGAGAGGGAAGGCCTTGATAAGGACCCCAGCGTCTGAGGCCCTGTGTCCCAGCTGGGCTCCCCCAGTCCTCTGCCTGCTCTCCCTTCTGGAGCCCCACCCCCCACTCAGCTGCCAAGCCTCCAGCATTCAAGCTTCCTTCGCCTCTGCCTGTTGCTCGAATAATAATCACTGGGAAAGACAACAAAGGCATTGGCTGTCTGAAACCTTGTTGCCGAGCTGTTCCAGGGACACCTCCTCCCCTGGCCAGGTCCTTGGAAGGGACAGCCATCGCCCAACAGAATAGCAGGGCAGACTAGGGGCTCCTCCAGAAGCCCCCAAGGCTCCCACCTCCTAGAGGGTGGAGGGGGCAGGGGGCGTGGCAGCGACCGTGTGGGTGAGAGATGAAGGCTGTGCTTTCAGAGGCGAGAGGCCCTGGGGCAGGAGGGAGCCCGCCAGGGCTTGGGCAAGGCAGGGGAGCAGCCCCTGAGACCCGGGGTTCCCCTACCCAAAGGAAGATTCCGAAAAGAGCCTAAACAGAGTGTTTCCTTGAATATCAATAGGGCTGTTGTCTGGAATAGCAATGAAAGTAACCTCAACAGTCAGCGTTTTTATGCTGCAAAGCCTCGCAGGAGGCGGAGGTTGGGAGGTGAGGGTCCTCTTCCTCCCTGCCTTTCCCTCAGAGATCCACCTTCATCCCAGAAGGATAATGGTCTATCCTGGGAAACTCATCAAGGAAGGGTCTACCTCCCATACTTATCCCACTTTCTGGCTCTCCCCCAAATGTAAAGTTCTTCTTCTTATCAAACCTAAATCCATCTTCAATCTTCCTGACAATGGTAATTGTTTCCATGAAAGAATGAGTGACAGCATCAGATTCCCAGAGGTGGCGGGAGACTGGGAGTGGTGAGGACCTGACAATATCTGAGCTTTTTTTGCACAAGACTGAGGGAGAGCTGGGAGGGGTACTGTGGGAGAAGTCAGGACAGAGTTCCCCCGGCCCCGCTCTGACCTCACATCTCTAGCTGGGTGCATTTTGAACTACCACCTGGAGCCTGAGAAGACCCTCGCACAGGGCTGCATGTCCCCCACCCCCACCCCAGATACACACACGCACACACACGGCTACAACATACAACTCCACATGAATACCCTGAGGCTCAACCAGCCCGAGAGGCAGTGCTCTCAGGTTTCCTTCTTCTAAGTCCCTAGAGGGCCTGCTAGGGGTTCCCTGCAAATAGGGCCAGGCGCACTAGCTTGAGGTCAGCTGGGTAGCAGGTGACGGCTAAGAAGCTTCTGGGTCTACTCCCTGCCTGGGCTTTCCTGTTTCCCTTCAAGATTTGAAAGGCTCCTTCCCCTTAGGTGGGACAGGACAGATCCCAAGGGTCTCAAGCAGACCCCCACGCTGTTGTTCCCGGTGTCAGGGGTAAATTTTGGTCTGCCTCAAGCGTCACTACAGTCTGAGGGCCCTGCACATGGGCGTGGCATTGTGGGGAGGAAGAAGGATCCTGCCGGACATCCTTGCTCAGCATGGTCAGAGGAGAGCATAATATGGGCTCTTCTTTGGTTCTCCCCCTTCCAGACCCCCAACAGTGGCATCCACAGGGCTTAAAGGTTAAGTCCAGTTCCTGGGTCCTACACATCCAGGCATTTAATAGGAGCAGCTCCCTGGGGGCCATGGGTCCTTGTGAGCCTCTGGAAGGAAGCCTCAGCGGTTTCCTAAACCTGGGCTCCTACCTTGTCAGGAAGCCCAGAAGGAGCTCAGACTGGGGTGGGGAGGCATCTCTCTGGGTTGGTACAACCACACTCACCCTGGATAAGGCCCATTTTCCAGGAATGCCTGAGCCCTCGGCAGGAGGGGAGGCACAGGAAACCCTGAGCACTCTGGGGATTTCACTTCCAAGGCTCCGAGATGTTTCCAGGTCAGACTTGGGATGGGTGGAGGGCTGAGGCATGGGCCAGGAAGCAGATCCCCCTTTGGTCCCATGTTCACCAAAATTCTCACTTGCCTCCCCAAGAACACATCCTTTTAGCAGACCCCACTGAAAAGCTACACAGAACTATAGCTCCTCTCCGCAGAGCAAGGCACGTAAACACACACACATTTTTCATGCAATTTCAAGGAGTTCACAGATCTTAAGAGTCTCTTTCATGGATGCCACTCCACCAGGGAAGCTAGCCAACGATTTCAAAGCCCAAGGCCTGTGGAACCATGGAGATGAATGATACACTGGGCACCCTCCTCACCTGAAGAGCCGGGGCTCACGGATGTGCTCTGGCCCCAGGGCCATGCCCCTCATGTACTCGTAGCACAGCCCATTCTGGAAGGTGCAGTAGAGTTTGGGGGCGCAGCCATGTGCTCGCAGCAGCTGGAAGTTCCTGACCTCATTCTCCCGGTCCACCAGCAGCTCTGTCCGCTCCCCGTACACCCGGACCAGCACACAGTCCTGCATGTCCTCCTCCACGTAGCAGGCCACCAGCTTGTTGGTAATGCCATCAGTGAAGCGCTGGCATGGGGGAGAGGGATGTGTGGGGCAGGGACTCTGCTCTTGCCTCGTGGTGACCCAGCTCCAGCACAGGGTGCTCGTTTGAATGCTGAGCACAATTGCACAGAACCCCCGTCCTTTAGCCCTCTCACTTAGTAAAGAGCTCAGCACTGCTCCTAACCCTCCACCCTCTCCCAATGCTTGAGGTAGACCAGAGAGTTCAAGAAAAAAATGGCAGCTTGGGCTCAGCCCAGGCATGCTTCTCCTGGGTCTGCCTCTAGTGGATGGGATTTGGCGGTGGAGGAATTTTCACACCACTTACCTCCCCCCTCCACTTTTCACTCTCCCATCGGGCCCTGAAAGAAACCTCCATGGACCAGGATGCGGCAGACGGAGGGGAGTCACCTAGGACGCGTACAGCCTGACCCAACTTGCCTCTCACCACCTGCCAGGCAGAGGGCTCCTTGCGGTCCCTCTCGCCCCACGCAGCGGCAGGGGTAAAGGAGGGCACTGAGGTTGGCACCCACCCCAGGGCCAGGGGGTCAGAGCTCCTTAGGGCCAGAAGAGACAGAGACAGTAGATCCTGGGAAGGTTCTCTGGGTAGGGTGACAAGGAGGAATGAACCATGGAATTTATGGGGAACGGTGTGAGAGAGCTGGAAGGGGCCTTAGGGACATTCGAAGTAATAAAAGGTGGGGAAACTGAGGACCAGAGAGGGGAGGGACTGGAAGACATCATGTTAGGCCAGCGCTGGAATTAACCTCAGGCCTGCTTGATGCCCTGATGGTTTTACACTAAAGTTGTCTTTTATTCTGAAAATGTTACCCACTCACCCCTCCCCCGAAAGGGGTCTGTCAACCTTCACACATGGTCCTGAACCACGCCTTTCCCCACCCAGAAGGCCCACCAGCATGGAGTCCCTACCACTCCAGCATAAGCTGCAGGTGCCCACTCAGGGCAGCATCCTCCCAGAGGGAATGGGACAGCTGAAGACTCTTTACAGAGGAGGCAGGTCTGCTGGGAAGTCAGCCTGAGGCTCCTCAGGGGGAGCCTCTGCCCACGTCTGTGTCCCTGCCAGTGTGCCCAGCAGAGCGAGGAGGTGCCCTGTGTAGGGGGAGCTGAGGCAGAGCTAGGGGCGATGGTGAGGCTTTCCACGCAGCTCAGGGCTCGGGGCTAGCTGGAATTCCTCAGGGTGGCTCCTGGGACCAGCAGGAACAGCTCGGAGCCCGGAGGCTTTGCTCCCACTATGGGGTGTGTGAGTGTGGGGGGGTGCCCTTAAAAGTTCCTGCCTCCGCAGGTTTCAGAGCCGGATGGCTACTTGCTTCTGGGCAGCAAGGGGCACCGGCGCACACCGACAGGGGGTAGGGCCCGCACGCACAACGTGCTGACAGTGGGCAGGTGGATCTCCCGCGTGCCCGAGAGCCCCAGGAGGAGGGGTGTGTGTGGAGGGCCGAGGGAGGCGGGAGCCTAGCTTTGCTTAGGGACCAAAATAGATGGAGAAAGAAATACATACGCAAACCACCATTTCAGCCCTCTTCTGGGCAGCAGCCGCGCACCCCTGGGACCGACACCCGGAAGGATGCACGAACACACGTCCACGCATCCCCGTTCCAGCCCCGGCGGGGCCCCATCCCCTGCCCCGCGCCCGCTCTGCTACCTTGGTCCGAACTTGCTGGGGCTTCCAATGTGGCCGCAGCTCCCGGATGAGGCGCAGGGCGCCGGGGAGGATGTCGTCCTGGTCCACGGATATGCCGAAGCACGGGACGGCGGCGGCCCTCGGGGGGCCCGGCGGTTCCCGGCAGCCCGCGCCGGCCGCAGCCTTCTCCTCCATGCCCCATGAGCACTGCGGGCAAGGCGCCTGCCTCCTCAGGTAAAAGGGCGAGCACGGCAGGGGAGCCGAAGGGGGCACAGCCATTCCCTGCAGCCCCACCCCCTCGGAGCCGCCGCGCGGACGCTAGCCCCCGCGGGGGGGCCCGGCGCGGGAGTGGGAGTGGTAGAGGAGGGGCCTGGGGAAGTCCATGACTCAGGAGCCAGCGGCCCGCTTCAATCGCCGCCTCGCAGCCGGGCGCCCGAAGCCGAAGCCGACCCGGGAACGCCGGGGCCCGCCGCGATTGTGACATCACGGGCCGCGGGGCGGGGGCCGCGGGAACGCTCCCACCCCACCCCGCCCCGCCCCGCCCCGGCCCACTGGCCGGTGGGGGTGCGCTGCCTGCCACCGCGGGCTGCTGCGGCCACAGTTACCTGGAGAGCCTGGCGGGGTGACGCCCCCGCAGAGGCCGTGACGCAGGGGGCGGGGCCCGGGTGGGGCCGGGGTGGGTGGGCCCGCCCCCACCCGGGTCTCAGGCCCGGTAGCCCCCGGTTCACTCCCCCCCACCCCACCCCCCGCCCCCCGCTTCCGTGGCAGCGAAGTGGCCTCCTCCTTCCCACCTCGGCTGGGGCCGCTCTCCCTGTGTAACCCGGGGCAGGGCCGGGGGAAGCCTCTTCCCGCCCCCCACTGCAACCTGGAGTGTGGAGATTCCGCTGCTCCCAAGAGGTCAGCTTAGGCTGGACCACCTGTCCGCCAGCTTCCTGCCCCCAATCCCTGGACTCCTGGAAGAGACTCCGTGGGAAGAGGCCTTTTCCGATGGCGAGGGGACTTTGGGGGACGCTTTTTGGGGGTGGGTGTGCCCATGGGGACCTCACTAGTCACCTGGCGGCGTGGGAGAGCTCTCACTGCACCACCCAGAAAAGTGCCTATTTCCCCACGTTGACCCTTTCACCTATTCAGGAACCTCTCAACCACAAGCTTCCTGTCCTGATTGCTGTGCAGAATCCAGCTCTGCCCAGTGGAACTTCTGCGATGATGGACATGTCCTATATCTGTTCTGTCCAGTGCAGTGGCCACCAGCCACATGTGACTATCCAGCAATTGAAATGCGGCTGGTGTGACATTTAATTTAATTTTATGTTTAATGTAAATAGCCATATATGGCTGTCTTATTGAACAGGGTAGGAGATGATTGGGGGGCCTGCCTACTTAAGGTCATGGAGCCCCAGTCTGTTGAGCTGGAAACGACACTGACTCCAACCCTTCCTGCAAACAGTGAGGAAATAAAGCTAAGCAGGCAAGAAAGTTCAGAGAATTGTGCTCTTGGCTCTGCACTGGGATGCTGGCAGGTGTGGGAGTGCTGCCCTAGAGAGGCCCTGGTGTTCTATACAATTCCAAGAGCCTGTAATTCTAGAGGTACGAGCTTTGCTGGGCCCTGGGTGGGCCACTCAGTGCCTCACCTTTTTCAGTCAAAAGAAGGGTGAGCAGCTGTCATGAAGAGGGACAGTGTCAGTGGCTTCATTCAGGTAGATGCTGCCTCTCATTCCCCAAGCTACACATCTCCTGCAGATCGTCCAAGGGGTCAGAGTGGGAGAAGACATCAGCCTGAGTCCCAAGTCTTGTGAGATGGAAGACAGCAGTGCATACATCTGTGTGCTTGTGCACCTGGCCCCATACCAGGGTGGGTGAAGCTCTGAACCTGTGAAGGTACAACTGTATGTGGCAAGGTGGGAAGCCCCCAGACCTGAGTCAGACGGGCAGCCTTCTAGTTTTGATTTTTCACACTTCACTGAGCACTCTTGGCCAAATGCTTTCATTCTCTGTGCCTCAGTTTCTCCACATGTAAAAAGGGAGCATCGGTCGGATCTCTGGTGTTCTACGTTTTTAGGTGTTGGTGCCTTAGACTGCATGGGTAAATGGCTATGTGGGGTGGGGGGTTGCAGTGCCCGAGCGCAGAGCCTGAGCTTGAGGCTGGCTTCCATGAGCTGGGACCATCTTTCTGGCCCACAGTCCACTGCCACAGTGTTAGCCCTGGTCCTCAAGGGGCTGGCTCTCTGCAAACTTCCCACCCAAGGTTGTGTAAACCTTCAACTCCACTCGAACCCTGCTGATGTCAGATGGATGGCATCAGCCCTGCACGCAGGAACCTGTGCTTGTGAGTGAACGTATAGTTTGTCATTCTGTCACGTTCCTGTCTGCACATGATCTCTTGGTTGTGCTTCCCTCTGTTTCAAACCCTAGTGAACCCAGGTACAGTGGGGTTGTGAACATGAAGTCTTTATTCTGTTTGTCCTCAAAGTAGGGAAGAGCTGGTGCTGGGGGCAGGGCGCACATCCAGGGGGTGGTCCATGCCCCTGAGTGAGGGCACAAGCACAGGCAGGGGTTGGAGAGTCCCAGAGAGTGCTCTAGCTCTGGGCTGGAGCTGAGGGCAGGACCTGCAGGGCAGCAGAGGGCCTCAGCGGGCCAGGGCAAAGCCAATGCGATTGTTACGCCGATCAAACTCCGTGTAGAACTTGCGGATGAAACAGGCACCCAGGACCCAGACTGGCCCCGTGGGCGGTGGGACGTCCAGACCATGGAGGGCCAGTGTACACAGATCATCACTATTGTAGGGGTCCTGGCAGGAAGCAAGAGGGTTTCCACACTGCCCAGCTGATAACCACGTTGCCTGACTCTAGCAGCCATCCTCAGCAACATCTCCCCACCAGTCCCCCATCCACACCGGGCCTCCATCACATCCTGGCCCTTTGAACCATCATGGATTGCACCCCTCCGAGATGCAGGCACTAAGCTGGATGCTGCTAACAATGCATCAGGCACAGCAGTGCCTTCAGGAGCTTACAGTCTGGCAGAGCTTCTGGTCCTAGACAAGGTATTTAACACCTCTAAACCCACTGAGCATAAAAAGCAGGTAAGAGTATAGGAGCATAACATTACTGGGGGCGTTGGATGAGAATGGAGATCAGGAGATGAGCACAGTGATCCTCAAATTTGGCTGCAAGTTGGAATCACCTGGGGAGTTTTGAAAACATTGATGCCCAGGTACCACCCCCAGAGGTATCAATAGGTATGGGATGTGGCTTATTACTGGGATTTTTAAAAGCTCCCAGGTGACCCTAATGTGCAGCCAAGTTTGAGAACAACTGGTCTAGCAGGTAATCTGTGCATAATGACTTGTCTCTTTTTGAGGGCCCCTGCCCACCCTTCCTCCCTGTTGCCGAGGGGCAGACTAGAGTCTCACCTGTAATACATAGTCCGCGCTGGTGAGCGTGTAGGCTCTGCCTCCGAGGTGGAAGGAGATGTCAGGGAGTGTGGGCACTTGGTTACAGTTCACGACATACTGGCGGTGGGGAGGGTCAAGGGAGCCCCTTTGAGTGTGGGAGGTCCCCCAGCAGACACAGCCCTGTGCTTGTGGCCTGGCCCTTCTCCTGGAGAGGGCTGGGCACAGTCCCCAAGTCCCCAGTCCCCTCTCCCAGGCACCAAGGATCAAGCCACACATGGGAAGAATGTGAGAGACAGGAGAGGAAGGCCTGAAATGGTCTCATTTGGGACCGAATGTTTCCTAGGGTCATTTGGGGGCCTGGACCAGGTGGTGCTCCCCCCACCCCTAGCGCCCTCCCCGCCAGCTCCTTACTTCATCTGTGCTCAGCTCCTTGGCCCCCAGGGTCTCCATGAGCAGCCTTAAGGAGCTGGTGGGACCCGAAATGTAAGATGCACCGGTATCCACCACTGCCATGCAGCCCTCCTCACAGAGCAAAGTGGTCGACCTCACAGACACCCTGGGGAAGGCCACACAGTCAGACAGACAGATGGACAGCAGGCCGGTGGGGCACCACCAGGCTGCATGGCTTTCCCGAGTGAGGGCAGGTGATGGGAGGGAGTGCTGGTGGCCCAGTGATTCAGTGAGGGAGGGGTAATGCACGAGCTGGAAGAAGAGAGGTGCTGCCCCCTCTCTCGGCGTGTGGCTTAGTGACCCTCCGCTTCCTCCCAGTAGGCCCCCTCCCCTCTGAACCATATGTCTCAGTGTTCCCCATCCCCGGACAAAGCAGGCAGAGAGCAAGTGTTGGCCAGACCTTAAGAAGCGGCTGCATTAGGAGAGAGGGCAGGATGGTAACCCTGCCCCTTCCAGACCCCACCCACGGCAGCAGCAGCATTTTTAGAGAGTGAGGAGGCTTGAGGATTCCTGACCCTTTCATTCTGATCTGCCAGGAGCCAGTCTTGCTGACGCTCACGTAGTGGAAATTCTCTTGGTAATACTGGGGGTCGCTGCCTCCCAGCACGATCTCTCCCCCCAGCAAGTGGGAATTCCTAAAGGGAAGATCAGAGGCTCTTGGAGACCCACAACCTGGAGACTCAGTAACCCCAGCAACAAGGCGAGTTGGGCACAGGTGCAGGGTGGGGCAGAGGAAGGCGGGGCGGATGGCAAGGCTAGGGAGCTGCAGACCATGCCGCTTCTCCGCCTTTCTTGCCCCTTCCCAAGCCCAGTCAGAGGTGGTTCCAGGAGAGTCCGGCTGCGCCCAGTAAAGCACCCCCAGAGAGGTCACAGAGAAGGAGCAGGCACGTGGACAGTGAGTAGAATGCAAACAAGACACAAATCAGCCCCGCCCTCACTTGGGTTCGGGTGGCTGTGTGCTGCGCAGGTGCACGGGACATGGGATGGGCCTCTGGGAGCTGTCGGGTGGGGGTGGGCAGGGACATGAGGAGAGCGGGAAGGTGGAGCAGAGAGCTTGGGCCCCCAGTGGAGCCTGGGTCTGCTGAGGTGAGTTTTGGGCAGGTGGCATGTGTGATTCTGGGCCAGGTGCTCTGGAGGGTCAGGGCCAAGTGGGGGGGTTTCCGTCTCCTTACTTGGAATTTCTGCAGAGAAGGAGACACAGCAGAAAGGAAGGCTTTGTTTCAGGTGAGCCCCGCCAGCCTGTTGTTTGGCAGGGTGGGTATTACGCACTCTTTTTACCCTACAGGCAATGGAGTCACCAGGAGGTGAAGTCACTTGCCTGAGTGGGGGACTGGAGCCAGGGCTCCTGGTGCCCAATCCGAAGCTGATGCCCCTTGCTTTCCTCTCCTCCAGGTGGCATGATGCCTCCCAAAGCTCAGGGCCTACCTTAGGGCTGGTTTCCTCTATGTGTGTGTGTGTGAGAGAGAGACAGAGACAGAGACAGAGAGACAGAGAGAGAGAGAGATGCGATTTTCCAGCATTCATAGTAGAAGGCAAGTGTGCATGCACATGGGTGCACAGCGTGTAGGTTGCACGTTATTGGTGCAAGTGCAATTAATTGCATTTTTATAAATCCAGTACATACGCATATGTGCTAGCACAATTTCCCTCTGCCTCTCTCCCCAAACTTCA